ACACCCTAAATGGCCTTGGCCCAGTATACCTGAAGGAGCGTCTCCACCCCCATCATTCAACCCGGACACTGAGGTCCAGCACCGAGGGCCTTCTGGCGGTTCCCCCACTGCGAGAAATGAGGTTACAGAGAACCAGGCAGAGGGCTTTCTTGGTAGTGGCGCCCACCCTGTGGAACGCCCTCCCATCAAATGTCAAGGAAATAAACAACTATCAGACTTTTAGAAGACATCTGAAGGCAGCCCTGTCTGGGGGGGGGGTTAATGTTTGATGTTTTATTGTGCTTTTAATTCTGTTGGGAGCCACCCAGATGAGCCAGATGAGAGGGGTATTAATAATAATAATAATCCAACCTTTGAGCTTTCACAAGGCAAAAGTTTAGCAAGGATGAGCATTGGCTCGGTCCATGAGTCCAGTGACAAGAAGTTCAAGGCTGCATGGGGGCTGAGAAGTTGCTGAAATAAGTTTCCACACCCACCTGGCAAGCTTTAAAGGTGAGGCAGGGTGCAGCCCTTACGTATGTGAATATTCCTGCAGGACTGTCTCACCTGCAAGCTCACACTAAATGTAGATAGAAGCATTACCTTCTCCTGGGAGAGAGTGCTAGACCTGTCTCCCTCTCTCAATTCCGTTTGGCCACCCCAGGCTGTGCTTGGAAGCCTTCCCAAGACTCTGGCAGGGCCCTCATCTGCACAGAAGAGGGGGGAGCAGCTGGGACACCTGCCCCAACCTTGGAGCCAGTTGTGCTCCATCTGTTCCAGCCCCACATTTCCATCCCTTCTCATCTCTGCCCAGAGTCTGCCATCCTGTGCCTGAGCTCAAAAGCACCAAGGGATTCATGACATCTGCACTGAACAGCAGAACTAGCCTCCCTCTTGTCACTGTCGGACAATCTTTAAATAAAAACCAATGTTTAAACAGTTGATGCTTGCACTTGCAAAAGAACACAGCGTGTCGATGATCTGCAAGAGACCATCCTAGACAAGAAGCCATTCTATAGATAAATGTGTGAATTAACATTTACAAAAAAACCCAAAACAGCCTGTCTGTTGCAATCATCACATATACTTGCCACCCAGAATAGACCAACTGAAGCGCAAGCCCTGTTGCTCACATGTTATAATATCATTCAATTTGTGTGCCAAAAAAGTAAGAAAATACCACTAAGTTCCATGCACAAGATACGGGAATAAAACAAAAAACATTCTGCTTTAATCAGCTATTGCACTGCCAGTTCATTCCAGAAATAGATTTCAGCAATATATAACAAAAATACACAGAAAGAAACAGAAGATGCAAAACTTTTGAGAGAGAAAGAATTGAGCCAGTTATAGTATATCATAAATAAGTAATCTAGACCTGCGTTAAATATAGGCATCCAATTAATAGCCATTACTAACTTAGGTCTATTAATTTAATTGGGTCTACTCTAAATAAAATTAGTTGTCAACAAGCCTTCATTTCTAGGTCTCTTTTGAATGCAGCTGCTTTTCATTCCTAAATACCTCTTTCACTTCTATGAATCTTTTTAAAGAAATTGTGATGGTGATGGCAATAGCTTCCTATTCCTATTCAAACCCAAGCTAAAGAAATCTCAGCCAAATAATCCCTGACAGATGACCATCCAAAACCTTAAGTGAAGGAGAGTTTACCACCTTCTGAGATAGTCCACTCCACTGATGAGCAGTTCTTACTGTCAGAAAGCTATTCCTGATGTTTCACCAGAATCTCCCTTCTTGAATTTGAATCCACTGGTTCGCATCCGACCCTCCGAAGCAGCAGAAAGCAAGTTTGCTCCATCGTGCATGGAATTTGCCACTTGTGCACAGCAAAAGAAATTAGAAACAACCCAACATGGAAAGCATCCTAAACATATAATAACGGACAGGAAGGAGAACAATGCTGCAACAAAACACGAGAAAATAGTTACCTGCTATTCTTATTGTGTTAATTGCCTTTCAAGAGGTGGGAAATTCCAATCGAGGGGGGGGGCATGAACTGGAAGTGAAAGGTGGGACTAGGATAAAAAAAAAGTAATGCAGAGCACAAGGCAGCCAGAGTTTGACAGAGGACCACAAATAAAGCACGATTCAGTCTCATTCATCTCAATGAGACAAATTTAAGCATGCAATCCTCAGTTTATAGGAATCACACATTGTGCCCCAAATCAGACTGCTGAAAATCTTGATCTCCAGTTTCTTTATTTTAGTTTCAGTTAAATGTAGTAAAGTCACATCCAAGAGCAGGAAGCTATGGTTACCAGTGTGGAGAAAGCCAGGATATAAAAGCAGCGTTTGAAGCTGGTTTAAGTCTCTGACTTGTTCTTATTCTGGTATGCATTGTTTCTTCGCATGGGAAACTATGGTCCATTGAAGATGTGTTGAACCAAAGGTGGACCGTTCCAGAAGCTCTGCTAATGCCATCTCAGTAGTCAAACCAACCCCACAATTAATTGGTATTTGTTGTAGCAATTGGCTCATATATGTTCAGATTCACTTTCTTTAATAATAATTAATAATAATAAATTTAGCATTTATACCCTGACCATCTGGCTGGGTTGCTCCAGCCAGTCTATTAGCTTTGAGATATGGTAATTGGCATGCTTTGATGTTATCCTTATTTGTGGGCTTGGAGCGCTGGGGTGCGAGCCCAGAAAGAAGAGCTAACTATAAGACTTGGGTATTCACCACCTATGCCTTTATCTTGGCAGGTGAAGCGATGGGAAGTCCTAGAAAACGTGACATACGCTGTGTTGTGTATTAAGAATGTAAGCCTGTTTGCCTGAACATGGACAAGCCATCTCCTTGCTGCAGTGCCCATCCCACAAAGGCTAGGAGAACTGGCAGGCTGATTTGCTGTAAGTCTACACTTTTCTTTAAAAAAGCACCAGAACTGATCACTCTGGCATTTTTTGACATCCACTCCCACAAGCCCTCCTGTGGGCCTGTGAACTTCCTGGGTTAATCACTAAGAAAGGAGGGAAGAGGTGATGGTGCACGGACAGAATGGTCATAAGGTTTATACATATATTAGCTTATTAAGTCAAGATATGTATTCTGAACATGGGCCATTTAAACCTGTCCTAAAGCTATGAGTTTAACAAAGAAACAAAACTAAAAAAATAGGCGCATCACCTATTTTTTGTTACAGCTCGTTTGCATGTATTTGTTATATATAACCAGCTATTTTCCTTGATTATGACCTCAAAGTATGACAAAGTTATTCTCAAAGTTTCTCAGGTCTCAGCAGGCAGAGATGATTCACTAAATGCAAATCTGTGGTCAGCAGGTACTACGCTTCATACCACAGTGTTTTGCCTGCCAACCTGGCCAGTAGGGAACAAGTTTTACGCTTGAAAATGGGATTGCGATGAGATACGCAGAGTCCGTTCACATTGTAAATGCCACTATGATATTAGAACACTTTCAGATTTCCTGTGAGAGCAGACCCAAACTTTTAATTCTCTTTATAGAGCAATTTAATTTTGCTCTACTTAAAATGGCATTTTCCATCAGGAACGTGAAAGATGGTCTACTAGGGCAACCTTAAGTCTGTCCTCAGGTCACCTCCCACCTGCCTGCCTTCTTACAACCTGTCCAAGGGATGGCACTGGCTGCCAACAACAAGGGGAAGTCCTTATGAGGCTTGGAAGAAAATGGCACACATTGAGAAGAGGCCTTGGGCTCTGAACATTATTTCCTGACAGGGACCATGGGCTCTATGGTCAAGTGCCACAATCAGAGTGGAGGAGAGTTGGCAGCGGAGCCTCTCTTCTTGGCTGGGCTGGGCGGAACACATGCAGGAGCTATCGAGGCAGCTTCCTGGCACCAAACCGCAGTTCCACTGTGTGCTGGGCCCGGGGGTTAACCCAAGCCACGCGGTCCAGGTCCGGTCCGGAATCCAAGGATTTCGCGAGGAGTCAGTCCAACAGGGCCAAGGTAACCGGGCTAGGTCAGGCACAACGTCTCAGGCAGGTTCCAGCAAGCAGCAATGTTGCTCCCGCAGCCTGGGGTGGGGTCTGGCAGCCTTTTATCTCTGATGTGGTAACGGCCGGTCCTGATCCCCCAGTGACTCACCTCCCTGACCCGAAGGTGAGCACTCCTCCTGCAAGTACTCAGGTCTCTCCTTCTCTCAGACCTGAGTCTCTGCAGATCAGGAGATGTCGGTGGGTTACTAGACCCAGAGGCCGCCTCAGCCTCTCCTAACCAAACTGGTAGTGGAGCAGCCCAGCAGAGGGCAATGAGGTAATCTCCACATCTGGAGCCAGGGCAGGCTCAGGCCCCTGACTCGGCCCAGCTGGTGCTTGTTGCAGGGGAACCTGTGCAGACTGGGGCTCTTCAGAATCAGGCCCCAGACTCGGTTCAGATGCCGCCTGAGGCAGAGGATCTGGTGCAGACTGAGACTCCTGCAGCTCCGAGTCCAAGCCCGAGTCCCAGGTCTGACCTGGGGAAGGAGTGAAGAGTCAGCGGCAGAGAACTGCCACCGCTCTGCTGGGCTGCAGTGAGCTGCAGCAGGCTCCCTCCGTGCCCTGCCCCCCGAGGGGACGCGCCCTGCATGCCCGCCCCAGGCAGCAGGCGCATACGCTCTGCCAGTGGTGCTAGGTGTACATATGCTACTGCAGAGGGGCTCTCCCACCTGGTCACCTGCCTGTTGCGTATTAACTTTCCCCCTAGGGGAAGGGAGAGAACCAGCAGAGAGGAGGAAGAGCAGAAAAGGAAAGAGGGGCTTTGATTTCTCAAGGGCTGCAGCTGATCACTTATAAAACTGTCAAGAGCTTTTTGAGTGTTGGACTTTAACTCTTAAGCAGCCCTGTTCATTCCGGCAACTAAGCAAGTGGGTGCTCTTTCACCCCCCAAATTAAAGGCAAACAACAACAATTGTAATGCAGTCCTTGTATGCATGTTCATATGCTCCACATCAAGGTCTCCTGAACAAATGCATTCGTTGTATATTGTCTGGATGGATTAAAAAAGACAGAGGAAGGTGAGAAACAACAGCTACTCACCTTTTAGTGCTAAACATAATGCCAGGTGTTTTGCTTCACATTTATGAGGAATCTGCGGTCAAACCTGTCTTGTTCTTGGTGGCCTGGTTGGGAAAGAAAAACATGAAAATTTCAGGTTAAGCAGATAAGCTGGCATTACCTACCACCTTGAGTAAATATTTTCCAGTAAACATGGTTTACACGACCTTGGGGAGTAAGGTCACACTGCCCACCAGGCATTTCTACAAAAAGATGCAAAACGTTTCCATCCATATAAACGGATGGAGCATAAAGTTAAGGAGAATAAAATGGTAATGTGGACAAATGAGGTTGAAGATAATAAGGTAAACAGTGAGTGAGTGCCAAACATTTTATCCAATGGGTGCCCAAAAAATTAACACCCATGAACGTAAAAACAAGGTTTCTAGTGTTAGCCCAGCCATACATGCCTGTTCAATCACTTCAGTCTATGGAGCTTGGATTTCTACAAGCGCCACCCAATGTTCATTCCACATTTCCAAGGAGTTATTCCTTTAGTTAGGCAACACCTGACCACTGGAACTGCATGCCTGTTGCCATTAGGAAGTCACCTTTGCTATACTTTTTTGGATGCTCTTTTCTGTTTCAGCAAACCTATCCAGACACATAACCAATTATATTTGTTTTAGATTATAACTTGGTTTTAATACTATTTTTATGCATACAGTGGTACCTCAGGTTAAGTACTTAATTCGTTCCGGAGATCCGTACTTAACCTGAAACTGTTCTTAACCTGAAGCACCACTTTAGCTAATGGGGCCTCCCGCTTCTGCCGTGCCACCAGAGCATGATTTCTGTTCTCATCCTGAAGCAAAGTTCTTAACCTGAAGCACTATTTCTGGGTTAGCGGAGGCTGTAACCTGAAGCATATGTAACCCGAGGTACCACTGTATTGCTTTTTGGATTTCATTCATCATTTATGTATAAATTGCACTTCTACACAACTTGGGAGAGCATTTTTGAGTAAAACAGTTTTCAAATGTTCTAAATGAAGAAATACTGTAAATGTGTTAAATATCTAAACCCCCACAGGGCGGACCTCACTCAAACAACCTGACATAATAATAAAACATAACATTAATACAGCATGTATTCAAAAATGCTTCACCAACACTTTATTACTTTAGGAAATCATAGCAATCGCTACAAAAATGTTTTTAAGTAAGGCCAGCGCTATAATGGTGGTGGTGGAGGGTGTGTCACCAGAGCCAGCGCCGTTTTCTTTTGCTTTCTCCCAAACCATCTCTCTTGCAAAGATACATGCGACCTTTAAGCCAGGCAGTAGTGCAATTTCTCAGCATCTAACTGAACTAAAAAAAATGGAGGGTTTTTGTGTGTGTCAGTTGTGCGGCTGGAGCTTTGCGATTCAACTATTTTACATGTGCACGCTCAGACTCAAAGCTCAAAAAAAACTTTAAAGGAAGCATTAAATTCATTCAATCACAGTTGTTTCCTCTCACAATTCTCTATGCTGTTTGTGGGCAGATAAATTTGGGATTGAGAACCATTTCAGAAAATTTATCCAGCAGGAGGAGATATTCTTCAATAGTTTCCCACGAACAGGGCTTGCCATTAGCAGTGGCCGTAGCACAGCTGCTTTCTTTTTTTCCTTTAAAGATGGTGGGGGTTTCATTGTCACTGCAATTCGTAACAGTAGCACATAGGAACGTGGGAATCTGAGTCAGGCCATTGGTCCATCTACCTTAATACTGACTACACTGACTGGCAGAAGCTCTCCAGGATGTTAAGCTGAAGTCTCTCCTAGCTCTTCCTGGAGTCACCAAGGGTGGAACAAGGGGCCTTCTGCGTACTACCACTAAGCTCATTCCATTCTGTTTATTTCATTTTAATAACTTATAATAACAACAGAACAGAACTTCTAAGCGGTTCACGCCATTTGCAATCCTAAAACCACGAGCAAAAATACGGCATGATACAGTAAGGAAACCACTAAAAACATTAAGCAAAACTTTAAAACAGAAATATTAAACTATGCTGCTACAATGCTTGAAAGAAAAGACATCATGGGGAGAAAATGGTGGAGAATATTTAGAGAAGATTCTGCTAAGTCAGGGGCATGGTGTGGGCAGTGTCTGGGGGGCCATGGCCCCGACTGCAGAATTTTGAGGGGGTGTGAAGCAGGTGCCCCCAGCGCAGCGTGGCCCGGAGCTCCTCTCTTGGGGTCGCTCCAGTGGGGTTGGCCAGCAGCCAGCTCCTTTACCCAATGTACCTGAAATATACTCTGTCGAGAGTGGATTTCATGCTCTTTATTCAGCTCATAGTGGTGAGAAGGAATGAAAGTTCCCCCAAAATATCTGCTTTATATGCATTATTTACACAATGGGCTGCACGTGATTGGCTAATTCCGGGATTCTCCTGTAGGCCAATCAGGTTGTGGATTCACTTCCACCTGGAGCTGGATTGGGTAGCTCCTGCGGACCAATCAGACTGTTGCATTCTGAGTCCTATTCAATGAATGGTAAATTTTGGATCCTATTCAACTCAGTACATAACAGTACCCCACCCCTCCAGGGTGTGCACCTGCCCTGGGAGCTGTTTGCTCATGTAACACTGCTGTGCTCTCCCTGTAAGAAAAGATGGCTATCAGAAGACATTTAGAAATACAGAATCTCTAAGCAAATTGCTTTTTTTGTTGTTGTTGTTAAGAATACTCTCCGATTAAGTTACATTTGACTGAAAGATTTCGGCTTAAAGAAAGAAGTTTCCTCGGTTTGGGAAACGCTTTAGGGAATATGACATTGGCACAACCATTTTGATGTCATGCCAGGTAAAATGTCTTGTTAGTTCTAGCAGATGAAGCAGCCGTTCTTTTTTTTTAAAAAAAAAAACACGAACAAAATTCCAGCTGTATCTTTCATTACTCTATGTTTGGGCAGTGACATTTTCATCTTGGCCTCTCCAGTTTTCTGTGATTTATCATCACAGTTTCTCCTACTTTCTGTGGGAAGAAAATACAGAGCTCTCCTGCTTCCCTCCATCTATAAATTAAATGTGCACCTCCTTGCAGAGATTATCCTTGCACAGGAGTAGAAATAGACACCCACCATTTTTACCTCCAGAATTTGCCTGTCTCACCCACCCATTACAGATGCAGAACAACACCAAAGCAGGCTGTCCAGTATTCACACTAGATTAAGGTCAGTGCATTACATATATTGTTAATACTTACTTACATAACCTAACCCTCCACACGCACACACAACTCCCATTCTAAATGTTTCCTTCCCCAGAAATTATCCTTTGTGTGTTGGTCATTATTCTACTCTTACCCCCGACGTGTGGCCTCAATTACAATGTGCTTACCTTTCTTCCTCTAGAGACATTCTCTACTTATGTACCTGTAGGGCTGATGTGGGAGACAGAAACACCAATTCACTCAGACCCTTTACTCCCAATGGCCACCAACTGGGATTTGAGAGTAATTTTCCAACCCCAGAAAGTTTTTCAGAAAACGTGTGTTCAGGTCTTTAGAAAAGCCGGCACTAGTTTCTCTGAATAAATGATAATTGCCAACGGAAAGTAGCTCCCATGATTTTCGGGGGGGGGGGGGTAGCATATTGATTGAAATCTGTGGTTCTCAAAGGATGTGGTGCACCACACTGCTGTAACAGGAGAGGATGGTAAGTGTGGCAGGAAGATTCAAAGACAATCAAAGAAACATTGAAATATTTCAGTATAGTGTAGTATACTATCACCCTGCGACGGTATCACAAAATAGTATCACCCCGCGACGGAGTGAGCTCCCATTACTCTGTCCCAGATCCTGCCAACCTAGCAGTTCGAAAGCACGCCAGTGCAAGTAGATAAATAGATACCGCTCCAGTGGAAAGGTAAACGGTGTTTCCGTGTGCTCTGGCTTCCGTCATGGTGATCCGTTGTGCCAGAAGCGGTTTAGTCATGGCCACATGACCCAGAAAGCTGTCTGTGGACAAAAGTCGGCTCCCTTGGCCTGAAAGCGAGATGAGCGCCGTAACCCCATAGTCGCCTTTGACTGGACTTAACCGTCTAGGGGTCCTTTACCTTTACCTTTTACCTAGTGTGTGTGTGTGTGTGTGTGTGTGTGTGTGAGAGAGAGAGAGAGAGAGAGAGAGAATGTGTGTGTGTAGTAGGAGATGGATAGATAGCTTTTCAAAATGAAAGCACAAACATCACGCAATACCAAGGACAATCCTATTTGTGTTTTCCAATGTATTTCTTATCAATAAAAAGTTTGGTGTGACATGAGCAAATTTTATTCTGAAAGCATGGGGCAGAGAAAAATATTTGAGAACCAAACATTTGCGGGTATAAGATGGTATACAAATTCAATCAATCAATCAATCAATCAATCAATCAATCAATCAATAAATAAATAAATAAATAAGACAGACCACTGTTTTAAATGTACATTGCAGATGGGGCCTTAGTATTCTGTGGACACTGAGACCACTAAGTCCTTGCTAGGCCATTTCATAGCTTTCCATCCCAGTAAAGATTTTGCGTACTTCTGCCAGTCTCAGGGGTCCCCCATGAAGATGGGCAATTGAGAGTGCAAGTCAAGGCAATGTCTGTGATATTTGGAATCACTTGCTTCTTGATGCTTCTTAAACAGCTGTGTTATCGAGTTTCCAGAAATTGGTGAAACATAGCACTGTTCTGAGTTGTTTGAATGTGAGTTGAGCCCTTTGGTGTTTCACTCCACAGATCAGTAGGCCCATCCCCATTACTTTCTTATGGATATGGGGGATTTCCTAAGATGGAGACGCAAATTCAGAACCATACCCTGCCCCATGACTTCCCTTGCTACTCTGAGTGAGCAATGTGCAGCCTCCTTAGTCTGAATTAAATGAAGCTTACCCTCCAAGTACATGTGTACAGGACTGCAGCCTTGATGGGATACCGGGCACGTGTTTATGCACAGCTAACTGACGCACAGCATTCTCACCCTGTAACACATCCTATTGGCCAAGTATGTGGACTAATGGGACGATAACAAGAGCTTATAAAGAAACAGGTCATCCCTTAACCCATCAGATTACTGCCCGTGACAAGATGACAATAAGAGCTGACAGGGATGTAGCCAATAGATGTAATCTAGTTGCATTTCAAGGCAGCTTGTGAGACAAAGCTTTGCAAAGCACTGATAACAACGCAATCATTAATACGTCCTGCCTTATAGGGGAAACTTTCAATTGGGTGATGGCATATTTGACTTGACAACAGCACTGCTAATGGAGAAGCAAAATGTGGCATGAGATTTGTCCCCAATTGCTTTATTAGATTATTTACCATTTTATCACTCATGCTGCTGACCAGGCGGAAGAGCATTAACAGCGGTTAATTCATATATTTGACCCAGTGCAGTGCAAGTGGTTAGAGCAGTGGTTCCCTAATGTTTGGGAAGTATTTGCACGTTTATTCAAAATTCAATTAGAAGGATTTTATCAACAAAACCTGATCCAGTGAGACCAGCTTTTCAAACAAAGTCTGATAGTCATTTACAACTTCAGTGCCACCCCCTGCCACCCCATTGCCTCATTGTGCCCCCTAGGTAATCCCACTGCCCCCCTCCAGGGGTCAGGACCACTACACTGAAAACCACTGGCTTAGAGTGTTGATCTGGGATCACCAAGGCTTGGGTTTAAATACTTTCTTAACCCCAAACCTCACCAGGTGACTGTCTGTATTTCTTAGTCTAATCTGTATTTCTGTCTGTATTTCTTACTCTAATCTATTTTTTTTAAGAATTGCTGGGGGGGGAGAGTCTGGCATGTGTGCTACCCTGAGTTCCATAAGAGAAAGATAGGACAAAAATCATTTAAATCACTCTGCCACTTAAAAATTGAGCCAGATCACGGAGGACTCATGAAATTCGGCTTATGAAGACCATTCCCAGCATTTAAAATATATGTTTCCTACAACTATAAATTTATAAAATGATTACTTTTTCCTTTTCAAGATGCAGTGAGAAAGCAAAGCAAAAACAGAAACAGCAGATTGTATCCCTCACATAGGCGCCGACTCCATGGGGCTTGAGGGGGCTGGAGCCCCCTCAAAAAAATTTTTGGGGGGGCTCAGCCCCCCCAATAATCTCGGGCGGGCGCCCTTCCAGCAGAGCGCCGCCGCCGTCCCCCGCCTCCTCCCCACCTGCTCCTTCGCCAGCCAGCCAGCCGCGCGCCCTAATCGGAGAGCCCCGGCCGGAAATCCCGCGAGAACAGGGGAATCCCGACTGGCCACACCTCCCAGCCAGCCAATCGGCTGGCTGGGGGGGCGTGGCTTGCCCTATTTAGGGCCGGAGCCACTTTATTTGCATATTCATGAGCTTATTTATTATTCATGAGCTTTCCCGGGCCCCCCCAATATTTTTTCTAAGTCCGCGTCCCTGATCCCTCAAATGAATTACCCTAGAAGTCGTCCGCTGTATTTAAAGAGTGTAGCACAACAACTGCAAATGAAAATAGGAAAAAGACCCCTAATGAAGGAAGGGTGCGATACTAAAAGTAAGAAATTAATAAAAAAAGAAAATGAAGGGAAGACCCTGTTCTACTTTCAAACAAGCTTATCTAATTTATTCATATAGATAAGCTTGTTTGAAAGTAGAACAGGGTCTTCCCTTCATTTTCTTTTTTTATAAGGGGTAGATTGAAGCCATGTAGTTTGGATGAGGATAAGTAGGATGCACAAACAGGGAGAAATTTGCCAAGAGGGATAATAGGTGTCTGATATGGGGAAGTAAGAAGAGACAGAAAAGAGTGTCAGTATATGCCATAAAAGACAATTTAATTTTGGTATCATAGGCAGTTTTTCAAATGAAATCTAATACATTAAGTTTTTCCATAAATTGCTCAAAAGTAGATGTTTATAACTCTCTGTAAATGAGCCTTTTCAAATATGTACAGCAGCTATTGAGACTGCATCTCCTATCTTACTTCTTAGTTAATATGCAGAAAGTAGAAATTTTGTGAGTGCCAGTGTAGTGTAGCAATTAGAGTGTTGGACACCCAGGTCCCCACTCAGCCATAAAAGCTTACTGGGTGATGTTGGGCCAGTCATGACTGAGTGTGACTTTGGGGCAGCAACTCCCTCCTTAGCCTACCTTAGAGGTTTGTTGTGAGAATATGCATGTCACTCTCAGCTCCTTGGAGGAAGGGTGGGTTAAAAAAGGTAAAGGTACCCCTGCCCGTACGGGCCAGTCTTGCCAGACTCTAGGGTTGTGCACCCATCTCACTCAAGAGGCCGGGGGCCAGCGCTGTCCGGAGACACTTCCAGGTCACGTGGCCAGCGTGACATCGCTGCTCTGGCGAGCCAGAGCCGCACACGGAAACGCCGTTTACCTTCCTGCTAGTAAGCGGTCCCTATTTATCTACTTGCACCCGGGAGTGCTTTCGAACTGCTAGGTTGGCAGGCGCTGGGACCGAACAACGGGAGCGCACCCCACCGCGGGGATTCGAACCGACGACCTTTCGATCGGCAAGCCCTAGGCGCTGAGGCTTTTACCCACAGCGCCACCCACGTCCCCAAGGGTGGGTTAAAAGGACATAATTTAACAAGACAGCATGAAACTGGTACCCCCAGTTAACCACAAGATGCAGCATTCATGGAAGCAGAAGAAGAAGAAGAGGAGGAGGAGGAGGAGGAGGAGGAGGAGGAGGAGGAGGAGGAGGAGGAGTTTGGACTTGATAGCCTGCTTTATCAATATCCAAAGGAGTCTCAAAGTGGCTAACAATCTCCTTTCCCTTCCTCCCCCACAACAAACACTCTGTGAGGTAAGTGAGGCTGAGAGACTTCAGAGAAGTGTGACTAGCCCAAGTTCACCGAGCAGCTACATGTGGAGGAGCAGGGATGCGAACCCGGTTCACCAGATTATGAGACTACTGCTCTTAACCATTACACCAAACTGGCTGCTTGGAGAAGATATGTAGCTTTAGTGGGTAGGTCACAGATTCAGCCCCTGGTGTTCCCAGGTAGGAATGAGCTAGATGGGGCAACGGTTTGACTCTTATGTCAGCTTCTTATATTCCTACATTGACGCACTAGCCTTCCCCCAAACATCCAATTGCCTAGTACTTTTCAACAGTATTAATGCAGGGAAGCTGTGCTGATGGGATAGGCTGTTTATTTTGGATTCTCAGAAGGCCTATATATACATCAGCTTGGAGCACAATTAACTTCTAAGCTGCAACTTAAGACTTTCTTCCAGAAGTGAGGATTTTTATTTGGGTGGGTGGGTGGGTGTCCAGATCACATTTACTAACTACTAACTAAAGTTACCGGTATCTAAAATCTCTAAAAATTTGATGGTATCTAAAGTTTGTCAACAGTTGGTTGCAAAAACTTCTAACTGTTTTGTGGGATTTAATATCATTGTTTATTTGGGATTGTGTTTGTAAGCTTGTTAATATAATCTTCTTACACTGTGGCTTCCCTTTTATGAATTAATTATTTTGTGGCTTGCAGCATGTTCAGTTTAATCATGTATACTTCATCCTGCTAGGCAAGCCTTTACAATTATTTTTTTACCCCCAAACACTGCAGGGCTTTTCTGTCCTATTAGAGTCTCTCTTTTTTTATTAGTCTGGTGTCCGTTCCCTCCAGTTTTTCATTTATGCGTGTATATTTCATATCTTGTGTTAGAAATATAAGTAAATGTTTAACCAATTTCAAGTGCAATTACAGATCTCTCATAAATTTTAGCCACCTTCACCAGGCAACTGGGACTCGTATGTCGTATTCTGTCCTGAAACTTCTGGATAAAAGGTGAAAGGTAAAGGACCCCTGACAGTTAAGTCCAGTCACGAACAACTCTGGGGTTGCGGCGCTCATCTTGCTTTACTGGCCGAGGGAGCTGACGTTTGTCTGCAGACAGTTTTTCTGGGTCATGTGGCCAGCCGCTTCTGGCGAACCAGAGCAGCACACAGAAACGCCACTTACCTTCCCGCCAGAGCGGTGCCTATTTATCTACTTGTGCTTTGATGTGTTTTCAAACTGCTAGGTTGGCAGGAGCTGGGACTGAACAATGGAAGCTCACCCCGTCGCAGGGATTCAAACCTCCAATCTTCTGATCGGCAAGTCCTAGGCTCTGTGGTTTAACCCACAGCACCACCCGCGTCCCTTTGAGACTTCTGGATAGCATTGAACAAAACTCCACAAAGTTCTCATACACAGATTTATTGAAGATCACAAGGCACATGTAGAAATATTTACTCACATTGCAATAGGCTGTTCTTTTGCTCTGAATGAAAGTGGTTAGAAGCTTTTTATGAAGTTCTTTGTGTAGTTATGTAAGAATGAGTGAATTTGCCCATCTTCCTGGTATGCAAGAAATAAATCACTGAAACAAAGGAGGAAGGGAGGTTTCTTCCCACTCTGGGAAGAGTCAATAGAAACTAGAATCTTGCTATGCCTACCTACATTTCCCAACCTGCCTTGAGGTCTAAAAAGGGGAGGAAGCACTATTTTTTTCTGAAAGGGGAAGCACTGTTATTCCTTCTACCCAATACTAATACACAGATTTGCTATCACTAATAACTGAACCCTGTGGGGGCAGAACACATGGAATAATTAGGCTTCCCATATTTTGAAGAGCAGGAAAGAGGACACATTTGCCGACTTCTACTTTTAACTATGGATCTCTATGACAACTCTCATTTTACATACCTATGAAAAAGAGGACAAGTCCTGGAAAAAGAGGACATATGGCAACCCTAGCACCTGCTTACTGCTGCTCTGACTAGTCCCATTCTCAACAATGCACACACCAGCTTGCCATGCACGATGACTTGGCTTGCTCCATGACATCCACCATGTATAGCATGAACATCTGGAGCACGTACAGTTATATGCAAGCATGTACAGATCTTAACACTGTATGCATGTGGTTGTAAACATAGAGACCACTACACACAGGGGGTGGAGCCAAACATAGTAACATAGTCCAGCCACCTGTTCTTACAGTGGCCAACTAGAGTGAGATTACTGGTCCATCTAGCAAAGTATTGTGTACACCAGTGTTTCCCAAATTTGGGTCTCTAGCTGTTTTTGGACTATAACTCCCACCACCCCTAGCTATCAGGACCAGTGGTCAGGGATGATGGGAACTGTAGTCCAAAAACAGCTGGAAGACCATAGTTTCCCCATCACAGAAAATAAAATATGTAGCACATACGTAGTCTTTCAAAACGTTCATATCCAAGGCTTCAAGTAGCCCCTTGGGCTTAGTGGATTTTTGTAGGGCAAGGGCCAAATTGATACTGTTATGTAGTGTAGTTTCACCCTGGGCCAACAGGGGGATACTGTATATAGTTTTCACTCAGGTCTGTAGATAGTTTTCACTCAGGTCCGCGCCAGTTATTTTAGGCGGGAACTCTGGGCTGTTGTGGTTACAATGTTGACAGCCGGCTGCCTATAAATACAGGCCGGCTGAGCTGTTCGCAGTCAGTTCTATTCCAGCTTACCAGAATAAAGAGCTACTTGAAGAAATCGCTGTGCCGGCTGCTATGTCAACCCACGACTTAACACTGGCGACGAAGGTGGGATGGATGGACATCAGAGCACAGCCAGATGCGGCCAGCCTCTGAACTGAGCTGAATCACTGAGCTGAATCACAGAGCGAAATCACTGAGCGAAATCACTGGGCAGAACCAATTCAGAGCTGACTGTTCTGGCTAGAGCACTGTGTTCCATCCATCGCCCTTCACGCCGGCATCGGAATCATGGCTTCACTTGTGCCTCTACCGCCGTTTGCGCCAGCCTCTGAATCATGGGACTCCTACCTCGCTCGGTTCGACTGCTACCTCCAAGCCAACGAGCTGACAGCAGTATCAAAGGATCGGAAGTGGGGCCTATTCCTCAGCCTCTGTGGGCCTGAGGTGTTTGAGACGGCCCGAGCGTTGGTTGCGCCTGAAGCAGTCCAGGCAACACCATGGGACACGATCCAAGAGAAGCTCCGCAACCACTACGCACCAAAGCCGTCCAAGATTGCTGCCCGCCATGCGTTCTACCACCGGAACCAGGCAGAGGGGGAGTCAATCAACAACTACACCACCGCCCTGCGACAGGCTGCAATGCACTGTGAGTTCCGAGACTTAGATGATGCCCTGATGGATCGAATCGTCTGCGGGGTCCGGGACATCCATCTGCAACGGCGCCTCCTAGCCAAGCCAGACCTCACGCTACAGAAAGCCATTGAGGAGGCTGTGGCCTCAGAAGCTGCTGAACGCTCCGCCCAGGAGATCCGCAAGTCCAGCAGCCCGCGTCTTGCTAGGGAGCCAGTTCCGGTGCATCATGAAGAGGCCAGCAGTGATGAGGCATCCTCCAGTGAAGACGATGACGTGCACCAGACAAAGCGGGAGCGCAGGAAGTTCCAACAGAAGTCCAAGGGCCAACCGGAATGTGCTGGCTGCGGAGGCAACCATTCCCGTGCCAAGTGTCGATTCAGAGACGCCATCTGTAGGAAGTGTTCCAGAAGGGGCCACATCGCTAAGGTCTGCCGATCGGCTCCGTCTGACACCCCCCCTTCATCGACTCGCAAGTCCAAGTCTTCACTCCAGTCTGCCAAGGAAAGTTGTTTCGCTCTCACCAACTGCCGCTGCCCGTCTGGAACCACGATTGGTCAAACCGACTCGCCTACGCGACGCAAGCTGAACGTCACGGTGCTCATTGAAGGAGCTCCATGTGACATGGAGATTGACACCGGGTCTGCCCTGTCCATCGTGTCATGGAGCACCATCAAAAGACTGGTACCCAGAGTGTCCAAAAGGCAACTCGACTCTCACCGCATACACCTGAGAGACTACCAGGGAAACGACATTCCCGTGGTAGGCGTTGGCCGGTTCCGGATCGCCTTCAAGGATTTTTCGGGCCTGCTCCGGTTGGTGGTGGTCGAAGGTCAGCGGCCAAGCCTCCTAGGGCTAGACTGGTTTGATGCCCTCGGCCTGGAAGTCACCGGCATCAACTGCATCTCTAACGCAGAGACTGAGGGTCTGGTCAAAGACTTTGCCGAGGTTTTTGACGGCACCTTGGGCCAATATACAGGTACGCCCATCTCCTTTAGCCTTGATCCACAAGTCGCCCCCATCAAGCTAAAGCCACGCCGGGTTCCCTTTGCTCTCAAGGCTAAGGTGGACGAACAACTGGACAAACTGATCGCCCAAGGAGTTTTGGAGCCGGTTGACCACGCAAAGTGGGAAACCCCCATCGTCACGCCTGTCAAGCCAGATGGGTCGGTGAGAATCTGCGCTGACTACAAGTGCACGATCAACAAGGCACTTCAGCAGCACGCTTATCCGGTTCCTGTTGTCCAACACCTGCTGCATTCCCTGGGTGAGGGTAAGGTCTTCGCTAAGCTGGACCTTGCCCAAGCCTATCAACAACTGCCAGTCGATGATGCCACTGCTGAAGCCCAGACGATCGTCACCCACCGGGGGGCATTCCGTTGCCGCCGGTTGCAGTTCGGGGTGAGTGTGGCTCCTGGCATCTTCCAAAGCCTTATGGAGCGTCTCCTGCAAGGGCTTCCGGGCGTGGTACCATATTTTGATGACGTCTTGGTGTCTGCAGACTCACACCAGCAGCTGTTCGAGCGCCTCCGTGCCGTGCTGACCAGGTTCCAGGAGGCCGGGCTCAAGGTAAAGAGGGAGAAGTGCC